AGTTGATACTGCCTCCGCCTAGCTTCCGCTTTTTCCTTTTAACTAGAATGGACGCTACTTATCCAGTCCACATCAAGCTAGCACTAGCCGTTAATTGCAGTCAACGTTTCATTTGTACTTGGCTGACAAGACTTCTGTCCTGGTTTTATTTTGGTTCGCCAATTTCTGTGGTGCATTCCGTTTTGCGACACAGCGTCCGTTCGTCGCATTCCTGGCGTTCTGTGTTGTTCTTTTGCCGTGTGACTTACCTTCGCACCACTTGCACTTTTATCAAAACTAATCCGAAGCATGACATTCGTATGTGCGCACTACGACTGGAGTCATGTGTTTTCAGATCTGACTGCCACTGTGGCTGTAGACAGGCGCTTGCACTTTAGGAGAGGTCATGAGTCTCTTTCTCTACGATACGCTGCAGCATAGCCCGAGAAATACTGCTTCAAAATCGGCGAGTCATCAATCATATTGCATTTCCTTCTATACATCACATTTATTATCCTACGGAGACTCGCCGGGAACTCCTAGAAAGTGTACTCAGTGAATGTTGCACCATATTCGGTCTTGGTGGACGGGGGTTGGAATATCTCTACACCCACAGGTAGTCTGTCATAGTGATCTTCATTGATTTGATGGCTTGTTTTGATCCAGTTGCTTTTGCTTGCATTCCGTACTTTCTATCACGGAAGGCCGTTACACACATCTCTTACAATTTTTAAATCCCTTTATCGCTACTCCTGTAGTCTTGTGTGAATCCATGAGAGACTTCTTCCTGAGTTCACCACTGGAACTTAAATCCCATAAAACCGTCTGGTGTTTCCTTTTACCTTGAAATTCGCGATTGAAGAAGCTCCTGAATAGTCCTGCCCTTTTTGCTCTTTATGGAATATACGTTCCGTCCTTTACCTGACTGATAAAATGAGAATACGCGGACGTTGTAGATTCTATCCAGCTGCTACGAAACCGCATCCGGACAAGTCTACGTTGAATACTGTGCTTTTCGATGTGTACGTCACATCACTAAAACGCAAGTTCTTGTTACAGTACGAAGCTGGCATATCGCTTGTACGCGCCGTCGCCGAGCATCCACCCAAATCGGTCAACCGGTTTATTTATCTCTGGTCAAGTATATCGCCTCTGATTATCAAACCACCAACATGGTTTGCAATAATTTGATACATTGGTAGCCCTCGTTGGTTGTTCAGCTGTTAATTGGTTCGTCGAGCTTGATTAACTAATCGCATACTTTTCGTCACCAACAAGGCTATTACGTGTATCGGTGTGGCCAATATCGTCTGTGTCGGTGGTGCAATATTGGTCTATTAGGTACCTACAGAGTGCGCAGCACTTCAGCGCAGTGTATCATCAACGTTAATGTGTAGATCGTAGTTACTCAGCCCCGGTGCAACAAAACATCAAGAAACTAGTTTTCCGAGTTTCTTGGACCACCCGCCGTGTGTCTTGGATTGCGACGCGCAATCTCACTAGTGGCGTCGATTGACTTTGAAGTCAGCCTCTGGCAATACAATCACTGGGACCGTCACCGAAGTGGAAGGTTTCGGTGTGCCTCTCTCTCCCATCCCTGCACTCTACGACCGACGGCGGGTGCTCCAAAAAACTCGAAAATCTACTTCTAACCGCTGTGTCAAACACTGCTCGCGGAGCTCAATGGCCTAGTGATCATGGCGATAGCCGCCAAGTACTGTGCGCCGAGTTCCACTCCCAGCTCGGCTATCTCTACCTGATGAGTCTAAACGAAGACGAAACCGTCGGTCGTGGAGTGCAGGGATGGGAGAGAGCCACACCGAAACTAGTTTTCCCTTATCGAGTAGCCCTCCGCCGAGAGTTAAAAGGATGCTTTAGAACAATCGATTCCTCACTCATGGGTATTTCCCGTTGCCGCCTTCCATATCCTCTTCACACACACACACACACACACACACACACACACACACACACACACACACACACACACTATGATCGGTCCAATCCATGTCTGCCGTACCCGGGACCACGTTACGCTTCAGTTCATCCGTTGTCCACCTGACTCGTGCAATCCCGTTTAGCTTATTTGAGCGGCACTTGTTTTGTTTTCGTCCATTCATCTGGTATCGGATCCGACCGCCTTCTAGCCGGTCACCACTGGTTGATACGGTGTTGCGTCAGCTTTGGTTTGTTAGCGCGCATGCGCTGTCCGCTCACTGGTTTACCTTTGCCTGCCATCATGCTGTTCCTCACTTGCGCTACACCGAATGAATTCTGTCATACGCCACTCTTGCCTGTATGCTTTTTCCCAGTCCGTTTTGACAATGTTTTATAGGCGTCCCCTCCACTGACTCCACCTCTGTTCCGTTCACCGCATTTACCAACTATCATCACATTCCTGATCACCGGTTTTTGTGTGTCATAGCTCATCTCTGTGAGAGCACTGAGTGAGCACTGGGAAGGTCCAACTGCTGTTGTTCGGAAAGAAACTAGATGTCGTTGTGTATCACCTCTTGAACCTGAGCCGCTTACATTAAGTAGGGTAGATACCGTGCATTATATTTGCTTCGACGTGTTTCGCTTGTCAGTATTACTACTGGTTGTTTGGGACCCTTGTTTGATTAACCAATGGCTAGGTGATGAATAGATTTGATGAAACTGGTGAAAAGCTTATTCGGGCTGACTGGATCCATAGTACTTATGACACTAGGGATTAAAGCCTCTGACACGTCGATCCCTCTGCATCCAGTTACTCTCTTTTAATGTTCTCATCTAATAAGTATGCCTTCATTTCTTTTAAAGTTCAATATTGATCAGATCATCTGGGTGGACTGTGCCTCGCACTATTCAGGAATATGCCGTTTATTTATTTAACCTATTCTTGTCTGGTTGAGACCACTTTCTCTTTTCCTTTATTCCACTTGTGACTCATGGGAACCGATTTATTCGGTTCATCGCAACTAGTTTGCAAATCAGACGATTGTTTCGTTCCATTTGGGCTCGTCAATGGCTTGCGCCACTAGCCAGTAGCTTATGCCACTGAGCCATGGGGGACGGTAGTTGACCATCATGGATTGAAATATAACCACGATATAGCCCGACCCATCCTCCACCACTATGCTGGTTACTGCCCGTGCAGAAGAGGTGAGTGGTTGGCCCTCAGGTGTCCGGACTTCCCTTGCTAGTAGTCTTGAATCTACACAGCATTTTGGGGACTGCGAACTAAATCTGTCACATCTCGGTGCCTGGGCCACATTTGATCAGCTGATCTGACCCGAAAGTATAGTTCCACACACACGCCCCACTATGTACACGAGACGGATGGAATGAGACACGGTGTATGCGAAAGAAAAGCGACCATTGTGTTTCGGGCATGACCGTCAGTGCGCAAAGCACGTTACCCGGGGATGGGTGGGCCGACGTAGCACTAACCCGGAATCATGGCAGCTTTGCGAGGCTGTGTGCTGCATGCACTGTACATCGCTAGGGGGTGATCGCATTCCCTATATTGCAAAGTCTGCTCTTCAATGATAAGCGATCTATTCAGCGGCGACAATTCGGCGCATTTGACAACTTGTTTGACCCGCAGTTTCGGCATGTGCAGGTGGTCCGTTTTTGTTGACGATGACGGTTTTGGGTCGAGAACTCTCCTCCTTGAGTCGGTTTAGAAGGAACGGGGAACTTGCTGTGGCACCGTCAAACATCAACCACCCACTGGGATCGCTTGGACAGTCGACTAGGCCTCTGTGTTCATTGACCGAATCCGTTCGTTTGTCTTCCAAGTCCACCTATTTACTGCTTGCATATTCACATCGCATCATGGAAATTTGACTCTCGTAGCGTTGGTATCTGCTGGTCTGTCACCGGTCTAATATTTGGGAAAGCCGCACACCGGAAGTACGGAGTGCAATGGCTAGGCTCTGTCCTGGTCCATGGCAAAGCCACTTTTGAGCCTAGCTGTTCCACAGGGAGTATGCGATTTCTTTGTAACCACTGAGACTCCTTTTCCTCCTCTTTAATCAATGGATCAACTGTCAACACCTGTGTTCGCTTCATATCCAGTCACAGCGAACCTATCGAGTTATCATAAACGTCACGTATACGACAGCGCACATTTTACTGTTTGGGTTTAACTGGACTGCATCGACGAACTCAACTAAGGCGGCGTTTGTGCCATCACATACACACATATGCAGTCGTCCTGGCTTTTGAACAACCTCCTCGTGCTGCCAGCTGGGTGGTTCGAGATTTTCCCGTTCCAGTAAATGGTTCGGCGGCAGTGTTCCTGGACGTGGTGGGTTTTCGCCTGGCAAGCGTTCACCCACTAAAAAGCCACATATGTTCGTTTAACAACACTGTGATGTGGCGGACGTGACTCGCCACTAAATAAAGTCACTGCCCCTTGCTTCATCCTGGCGAAGCATTGTATCCCAGCAACGTTATACTGTATTTCTGGGGAGCATTGGGCCCCTATTTGACAAAGGAACAAACGCAAGGCGTACGAACTGAGCAACAGTCATCGGCTCCCAATGGGCGCAATTCCCCGAATTCGCTCTGCTGCCTTGCGAGCAGTCTAATCAGCCAAAGGCTCAGGGTGGTGTCCCCTAAGTCAACATCCTACTTCGGCTTGGGCAACCGGGTAGTATCTCGCTCTCTGACGAAACCATGGACTTTAATGTGTTGTGTTGTGTTTTCTTTTACAATTTCTGTTCCTTCTTTTGTGTTCCATTGTTTCTGTTGGCTCTATGTCTATTCATAGACTGTTGCCAAATATATATATATAGTCGTCCTGCACTCTACATCGCAGTTGCACACTCATGCTTGCGAAGCTCGTTTAAACGCATTATTTTTGTGGTCATTAATTATTCCCACTGCTGTTTCTTAGCCTACATTCTGAATCGATGCATCTAAGTAATGTGTCTGGTTCATGCCATACTTCGTGATTAGCTGAAGTGGGTTCAAAACTTTTCCAATCTTCCTTTCTTTCCCATCCCATTCTCCTCTCCTCACTTCGGGCGCAGTGAGAATCTGGCCGCCAAAACTCTCGTACGTTCACCTACAGTCAGAATTGGTTCCGTGAGCAACGTGGAAGACGTCCGCCCAGCCTCAGCCATTGGTCAGTCCAATGAACTCACGAAGGCGACGGATTACAAGACTCCTCTCCTAACCAAAGCGGACCAGCAGAAAACTCTGTTCCGTCAAAACCTTGTTGATGATGTCACGAATACACTGTTCTCTGAGATTCTCTCCGGTGTAATAGATTCCGCGATATCCCATAGTCGAGATACGTTGGCGGTGGTGAGTTGATTGAGTTACCCTTCCCTCTCTATTATTTTCATGCACAATACCATGTTAGACCAAATTGTGCACTTAACTGGTGCACGTTGTCGTTCTTCTCGGGCTTATCGTCGCTCATCATTGTCATCGCTAAAAACATCAACAGCAGCAACGGCACCTCAGCGCTTTGTACCTGCGCTCCCCTTCATAGAGAACCAATGAGGAATGACAAAGGGGAAGGAAAAGAGATCTTTATGTAACACCCAAATACTCAGTAAAAATTTAGGATCAGGACATCTCTAACTCGTCCACAACAGTGGGTTATCTTGTGAAGATAAGGTGGTATCGGTGGCACAACTGTCTTGCGCCTTTCACTACCCCTCTTCATAGCTAACTTTGTTCCAAAGACCGCTCAACACCACCACCCACGTAGTCTGGTTAGGGACGACAATAGTTGCGCCACTGGTGCCGGTCGCACCCTTTTCCGCGGATATCGGACTAACTCCAATCTGGGTCGCGTGGACCCTTACATGGAAGGCGAAGCACGGTGATAGCACCTAGTCAGGTTATCATCAAGCCCACCATAGCCCCTATCGAACCTTATTCTGTGCTTCATCGAGCAACCAAAACCGAACCCTCCCCAATATGTGTTTAGTTGGCTTACGCATCATGTGCCAATGCTGACGGAACTTGCTCAGTCTTGTGTATTTATCTGGGAAACTAGAGTGATCATCCTTGCCGCATGATACTTGATTGTGTTTCTCATTGTTGTTGGCACTCAGATGCTGTAGACAACAATGACCAAAATCAGAAAGTGCTTGAGACCAAATCAAAGGGGCAGAGTCTCACTCCTATAAAGGTATGCAGCGACCCCACCAACGTTTTATTCCACGGAAACCCCCATTATGGCTCTAGATCTGTTGTGAGGTCATAAAATCAATCCCAGCTTTCGCAATTCGCAAAATAACTCAAACGGTCACAAACCCGGCGCTGTTTATGCAGCTGCCGGGAATAGTGACTTGTTCAACTAACTCCAGTTGCTCGTCGTCAAGAGTCCAATCACTTCGTGTCGTTTGATGCTACGAACTGCATGTTAAAGGATGAACCTAGCTCAACGAATTTATTTAGAGCCGACAGTTTCGTCACACACCTGTCTCACAGCAGGACGATGTCATGTGCATAAGTTTGATCAACATTTTCCCCTGACAACACTGCAGAGCATGGAATTCCTATCCAGAATGCGTAATTTTTTCAACTGGTAAGGCCATATTAAACCCAATCATAATTTAATTGGGTCACATCCGTCATTCTTACGACACCAAAACTGACCTCCTTCCACAATCCTCACATCTTACTCAAAGCTTGACACCCCGTCGGTGGTGTGCGTACTGCATTGTTATGCCTTTATGATTCACGAATCCAGTTGGCTTTTCTCCTGATTCCTTCTTTCACCTATCTTTCCCCGTGTGCCTCGTTATATCCGTAGCCTGTGGTCTCTGATACCATCTGGTGAGACACCAGACGTTTGTTGCTCCCATCATAGGGATCATGATCGGATGATCTCACTCTGTATCGTCGATTCATCCTTCGACAATGGGTGCTTGAGGGGGGAATGCTCATGTGTGGTGACAACAACGGATTTCCAACCGTGAAGTCAGACGTTATGTCTTAGGGAATGTGAGCACTCCCTTCAACAAGCTGGTTTTGCTGCGTCATGTCGGTCATGTCCTGCGTATGTCGGCTTAGCGTTTGCCCCACTGCGCCCTTTTTGTTCGTGCACGGCTCGGCTGGAAGAGACCATGTGGCGGTCAGCCGTCCACTTGGCGACAGCATATGAAGTCGTTGACTTCACGTTTTGCCACCGTCGGATTCACACGTCTGCCTCGTTGAGGACCAAAGGAAGGAGAGTGCCGATGATTAGAAATAATTCAGGATATGGCGCGCAATCGAAACCAATGAAAGATCTATGTACATACTTGTTCGGATTCAGATGTGAAAGACGCAACGCATCTACCAGTGTTCGCCTGCTTTCTGCGCTTTTCAAATTTCCGAAAGAAACTAATTGCTTTACATTACAAAAGATGAAATATGAAAAGTGGCATGTGCGAAATAACAAAGAATGCTTCTTTTCTTTTTCTTATATTGCGGCACTGTAGCTGAAGTGTGTTGCTCACCTTCAGCTAATGTGCCATGATGATAATGGCGTGGTGATAATACCTGTCTTCTTCCAGTGATTGCCATGATTTTGTTTGGCTCTGTGTCTATTCATTAGACTGCTGTTTATACCACTACTAACCTGTACAGATTGATCGCATGCGCACGACCGGACGAGGATCCCGCTTCTGACAACAGTTTGTACCATGGTTTTATCGCTTCTCACTCTAAATCACTTCCTCTTTCTGCTTTGGTACAAGCACGAGTTATGCCCTTTCGAGCCTCATGCCTCACCAGCTCTTACGTATTCATCCGGCAGTTACTTCTTTGGGTTCAAGTCATTAACTAACTGCTCCCTCCTCCTTGTCGCTGCTGTCCGTCGGTTCGTAGAATGCTGTTATCATACGCACTGTTGCAGTTTTGTACGCTTTTTTCTGTTTTAATCTCACCTTTATTTTTACCGTTACGATTTGTCAGTTGTGGTTGTTTTCGTCACTAATTAGATTTTAGAGTAGGTATCCGCGTCCATATGTTTTATTGACCACATGTAGTTTAATCACCAGCATAGATTTATCGAATTACTGCTCTGCCTACGTTTCAGATCAGCTAATGCTACTTTCTGCTCCCTCTCTCTTTCACTGTTCTTTAGCACGAGCACAAGCATTTTGCTGATCATCCTATCACAATAACCACTGACGACAGCGGTAAAGCGTCATCTGACGTTGTGTCCAGTCCGCGCCTTCATCCGGCCTCCGCAGTTGCTTTCCCTCTAGACGAGGAGTTCCTTGTTGACAACGATGATACCACCTCGGACACCGTCTCAATCGGCTCACTGTTCACAGCGGAACACCTTCGTGGACTAGTTCCTGATATTCCTTCTCGCACAGCGTATCTGGTTCATGAGGCTGTGGAGTACTTATGGCGCGCAAGATCTGATGCAACTGAAAAGTTACAAGAAAGAGCCATTGAATCGGCCATTTGCCATCCGCCTGAATCATTCTCATTCACTCAAACTGATGAAGCCGGTAAGTTTATTATCCAATGTGTTTATCGTGTGGAACGATTGAGAATGTCGCTTAACACTGATTGGGACCACCTTACTGGTCTACAGCGCATATCGATTGTGTTCTGTTCTTCTCTTACGCCAAAGCGATGAATGACCTATACTCTCTTCTAGTGCTGTTGGTCTAACATGCATTTAGGCGTAATGTCATGTGTCGATTCCCCCCTTTTTGCGTTCTCCGGGATATTTCTTGTGTCCCCCGACTCTCGAATGCGGTTGTCACTTTGAGCCGGTACAATCCTCCAGCATTTTTGCCAATAACTGCAGCACAGTAACGTACTGTCCTGATGTTTTTCGATTTTAAACCTTGAATTCACGCACGGCATCAAGATGCCAGAATAACAGTACTCAACAACCGAACACCGTACCGCCACGTGACCACAAGCCATCGCGCGTGGGCCGAGTATACCATGAGGTCGCTCTCATCTACGCGGATTCCGACCGGAGTGGCCTTTGGATTACAAGGCAACTGCGTAATCCTTTTGGCCACCGGTTGCATCGAACATGGAGTACAAGAGGTTAAAGAAAATAGTGAAACTGACCGTAGTGGATCTTAACGGCTAGGTACAAGAGATCGGATGCATTAGTGCCACTGAGCCCGCCACATATCCGACAAGGTCCCCAGTCCCTAGTGTTGTTCATCTACGAAGATGACATCTCATCCTGGTCAAACAACGAAGCACAGGGATTCGTCTTCGGTCACTAAAAGTGCACCCGTGGCGAACTAGCTTACATGTCTCCTTATAATGCATATTATCTATCACCCAAGTACACCCGTCCAGATTGGCGTTAATACTTTGCTGTAAAGCTGCCTTCGTACGGCTGCACTGCTGTTATTCTACGCCTGCGAGACTACGACCACCTGATTGTTCAGTCACGCTCAGAAGGCCAAGACTCGGTAAACAAGGAGTCTATTCTACACGATAGGTCAGTTCTACTCATTGGTGAACGAAACATACTAACTTTTGGAAGCGTTTGGCTCGCAGCCAATGGGAGTTAATTCCGTCCCACGGATTTTCCATATTTTGGCAGAATGGTTCGCCTCCGTTTACTCGGGCTTGTATTTGCTGGCCAATCAGTTTGCACTCGATTCCCAAATTTGGCAAAACAGTCGAAGGTCGTTCCACGCTCGTGCTGGTGACCTTTTGCATGCAGCAGACAGCTCACGTGCTCCGCAGCAAGCCTGTGCGTGGCCTCCTATCTGAACGTTGGCTCCATTTACCTCTCTATTACCTCCCCATTTGAACTGATTGCTCCTACCTATTTTCCGCACTTGGCCTTAGTCGTACCTTTTTACCCTGGGTTTCACTTGTAGTCATCGCGCTTGCCTTCTTCTTCGATTTGGCTTGCATGTCACGTCGTGTGGCGTCTGTGCGACCGGCTATGTTCCGCTTTGGAGATCAGTTCTATTTTCTAACCAAATGTATCCAGTAGTATGTCCCACTGTGGTGCCGCTGGTTCTTGATGTCTTTGAGTTTTGCCATGCCGCTGCCGTAGATGATTGATGTGTCTGGTCCACTTGTCCTTTCTGACCATTATCTCCTAAATAACTTTACCCCTCTTTCCACTAACCGTTCCGCTAATCCATCTTTCCGGGGCCTGGAAGTTTCCTGCATACACCAAGTCGCCAATCTTGAACGTGTGAAGCCTGTTATCCTGCCCCTCTCTCGGTTGTCCGTTGCGTTTTCCAACATTTCTGGGAATCAGGCTATCAAATGTCGTTCTAATTTTTCGTTCAAATGGACAATCAGAAGGAGATTTGCCCTCCGGTATGTTTGGATTCGGAGTGTTTCGAAACATTCTCAAAAAGCGGCTGAATTGCATCTCGTGACATCCTTCTTCCTTCCGCTTTGATAAGAGCACGTTTAAAGATATCTACAAACCATTCGGCTTGCCCATTCGATTGTGGATGCTACGACGGCAAAAACTTGTGTTGGGTTCCGTTTTGCATGCAAAATTCTCGGAACAGCGTTGAGGTGAACTGGGTTCCGTTGTCTGTAACCAGCATCTCCGGGGTGCCAAAATACTGGAACAGTTTGTTCAGTTCATTGATAGTGTTCTGGGCGGTAGGATTTTGCATCGGAATCACGTCGGGCCATTTTGTGTAGAAATCAACAAAAATCAAATAAGCTTGACCGTTGATTGGTCCCGCATAATCCAAGGGGATTCTCTGCCAGGGTTTCTTCGACTCGGACCAAGGGTGCCACGAACATTTCGGAGGTGCCTTTGCCGCTTGTTGACAAGATTCACAACTTTGGCAGAACAGCTTGATTTCTGCATCCATTTGAGGCCAACACACAAAACTTCGCGCCAGTGCCTTCGTTCGGCTGGTTCCCGGATGTCCTGAATGAAACTGCTATAGTATTCGCTTCCGCAACTTCCTTGGTACCACGACTCGGTCTCCGAACATTAGACAATTGCCAACGACCGTAAGGAATCCGCGTCGATTAAAGAAAGGTTGTAACTCATTCGAACTTTCGACATTAGGCCAACTGGACTTCACAAACCCTATCACTTTCAGCAAAATATCGTCTTGAGTCGTTTCTGCAAGAATCGTGTCCGACGTTACTGGCAACTCCCTTACATTGTCAACCAGGATGCGCCGAAATTCCGACTCGAATTTGACAGATACAATTACGCAGTCATCGTTTTCCTTCAAGTGGGAACTGAGGAGGTGAGATAGAGTGTCAGCTTGGTCGAGTTGTTGTGTAGATCGGTATTGTATACTGAGATCGTAAGCCAGCAGTACGGTTGTCCATCTCTGTAACCGACTTGCTGTGAAGACAGGAATACCCTTCTTTGATCCAAATATCGAGAGTAGGAGTTTGTGGTCCGTGATCAGTTTGAAATGTCTACCATTAGCATCTTATGAAATCGTTTCACTGCGAAGATAATCGTCAGCGTTTCCTTCTCAATCTGGCTGTAATTTTTCTCCGCCACTGTCAGAGACCGTGCTGCGTCCGTAATGGCCTTCTCTTCTCCTCCTGGGAACACGTGAAAAATGACAGCACCTACTCCATATTTGGAGGCGTCCGAAGCAACAACAATCTCCAAGTTTGGGTTGAAGTGGGTCAAAAGTAAATCAGAACTGAGCGCTGCTTTAACCGTAGCAAAGGATTGTTGGCACTTCTTTGTCCATCGCTATTCTTTCCCTTTCAACAGCAACTCGTTCAGAGGATCTCTTGTCTGATGTAGACTTGGCAGGAAGGCATTATAATGACTTATAGGACCGAGAAATGAACGAAGTTCGCCAACATCCCTTGGTGGTGGCATTTGCTTGACGGCTTCTATATTAGCGGGATCCGGACGTCGGCCATGTTTATCAATGATGAACCCGAGAAACTTGACACTTTCCATCAGGAAATTGCATTCTTCCGGTCGTAACCGGAAGCCAGCTTCTTCTAGACGAGTGATCACTTTCTCTAACGTGACCAGCAATGCTTGTGGGTCAGACCCCATAATCAATGCGTCATCCAGGTATACTGCGACCCCAGAGATATCGTTCAGTAGCGTATCCATGATTTGTTACAAAATGGCGGGAGCAGTTTTCACTCCGAATGGTAACCGATTGTACTGGAAAAGACCCGGATGCATGTTGACCGTCAGTAGTGTTCTGCAGTTCTCGGCTACTGGAACTTGTAAGTAAGCATCAGTTAGATCGAGTTTCGCAAACCATTTTTCACCGTTAACCTTGGTGAACAAATCTTCAGGTATAGGCAAAGGATACTGGTGGTTCTCCAACATGGAATTTAAACCGGTTGTCAAGTCAGCACAAATACGTACCTTGCCGTTTGCTTTTATTATCACAACGATGGGTGCCGCCCATTCTGAGTAATGTACGCGCATGATTATACCTTCCGACTGCAACTGATTTAACTCAGACTCCACTATTGGTTGTGTTGCGTACGCCACTGGACGTTTTGGTCTTTAAAACTGGTCTGGCGTCTGGTTTGAGGTTCAGCTCAGCTCTGGCTATTTGGCACCATCCAACACCGGGTTGGAACAAACTTTCGTGGCATCGCTTCAGCTCTGCAATTTGACTGTAAAGTTCGAGGTTCATATTCTGCGTCTCTGCGGGTTTCTCGACTTGTAATTTCTGGCATATACTGTTAACTGACTGGTCAAGTAATTTCAATTCATCCATCCAATCGAGACCCAGCAAATTCAATCCTGGTTGATCTGTCACAAAACAGGTTGTACGAATGTGCTGGTCACGGAAACTGACCTGACAATGCAACTCTCCGAGAAGTTTCACTATACCGCCGGATGTGTTTCGTGCTGTATGGTGTCTGTGTGGGCCAGCGGTGGTCGTCTCACCATACACCATGTGTCTCGACAAATCAAAGTGAGGTCTGACGCAGTATCCAGCTACAGCTTAACTTCCCTATCATCGATCTTCAACATTGTAAACTTACGCCTGCTGACACCGTCAACCTTGAAAGTCGCCGTCACAGTTTTGGCCTCGTTGTGACATCGGAAGTGCACCGGGATTCGACGCCGCATTCCGCTCATTATTGGTCGCTTCGCAAGACAACACGACTCTTTGTGTCCTCGCTTATCACAGTGATTGCAAATGTGATTTCGGAACGGGCGGTTTCGACCAAAGTGCCATTCCCTGCAAATCCAACAATCAGAAGATGGTTTAGGATGTAGTGAACTCACATGAACCGATTCTTTCTGAGGACTTCGGCTGACCCTGCAAATGATGTCCTGGCTACTCTGGATGGATGACTGTTGGATCATCGCAGCATCCTGCTACAAGTTCACCAACAGCTGGCTATCGTGCAAAGATAAAGCGGCATCGGCGAGACAGCTTCCTTGCGGCTTTCACTGCCACGCGTCATAATCAGCCATTACCCCGCAGATAACTCAGCACCAAACACACTTTACACAGGCAATCCGATTAAGAGACTGCGGCAGACGCGTCACTGGTGTCAGTTGCGAGCCATGTCCTGCAAAGTC